AATTGAATCTGCTTTTATAATTGTTTAAACAATTGTAAAAAATGGTAAGTCTATGTATAATTAATTTTTATAATATCGGTAAAACCTTAAGTATACTTATTTGCAAATTTTTAATTGTATCGTTTCAAACTATAAAAAATAAAATTATTCCTTAAATTAGTTTTCGTTTATCCTCCCAATTATTACTAATTCCCGTTTTCACGAAATTTAATAACAGTACAAGCTCTGAACTAGTACCAAATTATCTCAGGATCGCTTTTGGACCATGAAAAATTAAGCAAAAACTTTTTTCCTCTGAGTTTTTAACACATCAGTATCTTGGAACAAAATAGCTGTCTGAAACTTAGAAATTTGAGTACCGCCCGAAATTAATCAGGGCCTGAGACGTATTTATTGTAAAAAGGTCTAATGTCCATCCATTCTCTGTTAGTCTCAATAGCTAGTAATAGAAGTATACTGTCTCTTTTAATGATTAATGTACATCCTATCTTGGTTTGTACCATTCAATCAAATTAAAACTTCAAAAAAATAGTTTTGACATCGGCTCTTTTTGTTCTTAGGAACTTATTATTAAGTAATATTCATCTTGTTAGAGATAAACCCTGATATTAGATAGAATCCTAAAAATTACCTCCAACCTTCGCCCTGATTAAGGCTCCCTTATTGGAGCTGATCAGAGCCTGGAACAAGTATTTGGTTCCCACTGGTGATAGGTCAAATAATAAACAAAAATTTGTGTTGGTAAAGAGATAGATGACGCCTTCTATTCTGTATTTAATAATTCCCCTAAATAAAAATCCCTGATAGTTCTGTTTGATTGTTTCAATTTAACAAGAATGGTGGTTGACGTAGAGTGATGGTATGAAACTACCGTGGACCATTCGACTAAGTGGATTTATCTATACTACTCCACTTTACCACGAAGATTTCTCGAATACGTTTTCCATCTTAGTATTTTTTTCTCGAAGTCGATCAAGTCAAGTGCACGGTTTGATGGTAATTGGTTAGGTATATTCAAATATAAACTTTGATATTTGGCTCAGCAGGAGTTCCAAGCTAGATGGTGAAGACAGAGACTCGTATTTCGTATATCTGGGGTCTGGGAACACAGTTCTGTTCATGACTGGGCTATGTCCCTTCCATCCGGTTGCGGATCCAAGATTCAAGATGTTTTTTTGTTTTTTTTTTCTACATTTCCAATAACGATAATTATACTAAAAGATGAACAAAATAAAAAACTACCTATATGAAATGAGATTTAAATTGTCCTATAAGAAAAAAATAAAACAAAACAAAAAAGGAATTATGGGAAGAATAATATTTATAGAGATAAATTTCTTATATATTATTTTCTTGACAAGTCCTTACAATTAGTTGCCGTATACCAATTATAATTTTAAACTAGGTTAAATTGTGATCGTTTAAGTATTTAGCTTAGAACACTCACCCTGAAAGCCCATTTTCTCTCGTAGATCCGTAGATAGAAAAGTATACACTTTTTGTAGACATTGTATATGGTCATTTAAAAGTTTACGGAATTTCCTAGAAAAAAAAAATCGCCAAAATCGGATAATTTGGAGCAAAAACATGGTCTCTAGATATTTTTTATCTGTTCTACTGCAAACGTTTTATCCTTTGTTTTGATTTTGGATTTTTTAATGTGTTACTAAAGTAATGCTATTTTTTATTTAGATCAATGCTCTCCTCAATACAGCTAGAATTGATTAGGAGACACATTATGTCGTACAATGCACAATCTAAAGTTTTAACCATTGATTTTACATGTCTATTTGACATGTCCATCACTACACTCCTGAGCTGAACATATCAATGAGGATTGGTACCAAAAAAATGTGAAAGCAAATACTGGTCTATCACCCAGACATTTTCTTAAATTTTTGTTTTTTTACGCAGGGGTAGTTCACTCGTTGATTTCCTTCAGCAACAACGAACAGTGGATTAGGTTTGCTATTACCAGCAGTTGGAGCCGGCAAAGACCATCTCATTCATGACAACGCCAGACATCACATCCCTCTCTTGACCAGTGATAAATTTGAAGAAATGGACTAGAAACTCTTCTATGTCCTCCTTATGAGCCAGACTTGTTTCCTTGTGATTATATTTTTCGCACTGATTTATTATCAATAGTCGGTCAATCACAACTAGAGTTATATTTAGTTTCGCCATTCTCAATAAATTCACGTAAATATTATCAATTCTTAGAATAACAAGCCCAGCCATGATCATCCTTAGGATGGAAACATAATAGAGCACCAAGGTAGTCTATAAGTTAAGAAATGCATTAGAGTGGAAAATATGATAGTCTGGGATGTTTTTTTCAAAAAAATTATAGGAGCTTTATCAGGATTTTCACTGCTAAGGCCTACGCGGTCTTTGGAGGAATCCGTCCACAAATGTTGAGTTGGTGTTGCATCTCCACCGTTTTTCTTTCTCGGTGGACTAATATATATCTTCTTACAGAGTAATACTTTTTTTAAAAACTGGTTTGGGTTGTTAATCCAACACATAATCACATTAGCAGGGGGACCAGAGAGCTTTGTTTAGGGCCTCCTGTCCCAGTAGCTTTCTTTAGCCTGGCTTGAGGAACCCAGTTTACACCTGCCAGCCTCAGTTCGAAGTCGCTTGAGAAAAACTGTGGCAGAGACACTAACATCCGCAGCTCACCGAGTTTAAGCTTAATCCGGTGAGCTCACCCTTTGGCTGGCCCAACGTTCGCTGTAACTTTTTATTAAACGTTTCACTGTGAGAAGCACGAGTGCCCATCCCCCCAAGGTCGATGGAGCAAGAATCTACTCCCCTCCCCTCCCAAGATATTTTATTGCTTATCTTTTCTTAAAATCAGAGCAAGCAGAAGTGGAATTAGAAAAATCGTAGATGATGCACAATTATACATTTTTTTTTTTTTTGGTTCCGCTCCTTCCTCGCCGTTAACACTATACGGGATACGGGATACGGGATTTTCACGGGACCATTCGGGGGGTCAGAGGTGTGGGCGGGGATTTAAAAGACGACTTGGCACCGGGACGCCGTGAACTCATGCCTATTTTTGTATCATTTATCATATATCAGGTTGCCAGGCAACGGTGGTGCTGTGCACAAGGCGTTAGCCCATTCGGCCACCCCGCCCCCAATTATACTAGCTGCTGCCTATTCCATGTTCTCCCCTTGCCCCTAATTCTGAAAAATTTCCTTCCGAAAATTCATAACCCCGTCAAAATGTGCCGCCCTCAAAAATTTTGATGGCGCAACTTGCTCCTTGAAATTCTCTTCTGGGCACCCCTGGTGAGAGGAATCACATCTGCTCACCAAGCTATGGTTCAACTTGTGCCTGGCCTTATTGTTTTATTAGTTAATTTCCTAACTGGTATGTATTATGTTGTCATTTCCATCTAGGTTATAAAGGACATTCTTCCTCCTTTATCCTCCACCTCTTTTCCACAATTTTCAGTTTTTCCTTTAGATCATTACCTCTACAGTTGTCACTCTAACTCTTCTATATTAAACTGGAACTAATCCTTTGACATGGTTTCTAAGGTCCATAATAAAATTTATTTTCAGCAATGCATATCTCATTTTCAATTCACACACTTACATCTACCCAGCTATATACTTTCATTGGAAAAAAGAAAGATTTAACATCAAATTCAAAGGAAAAGAATGGTTAAAAGTCCTTCTTTTATTTTAAAATTAAATGATACCTAGATGAAAACTAAAGTGATACAGGCTCAGTAGTCCAAATCACTCCAGAAATCTCAACTCACAAAAGAAAAAGAAAAAAAGGAAATAAGTTATACTGAGAGAAAGATGAAATGTCTTATCAAAATTAGGTGCCTATTTTAATTACGGCTCCAGACATAGGACAGAGAAAAAGAGATGAGGAAGGACCTCCAAATGTTAAAGCATACAAAAATAACTGAACATAAAAATTCAATGTTATAAAGTAAACTGTTAATAGTTTTCTTAAACTTTGGTAAACCGAACACTCCTCTTCCTCCCATCTCCAGCAGCAACTAGTTCAGATTACTGAGATTACACTGAATAGTAAAAACAAATAACTAATACATTTTTTTAATGGTATCAGCAGAAAATAAAAATAGAAAATAGCTGACTGTTTTTAACAATTTTTTCGACCAATGGCTCAACCAATTTTTAATTGATAGCTCAAATTACTCTGCAAGCTCCAGTGCTTAGAACAATTAGAGCTTAAAACCATCCTAAAGTCCTATCATTAATCTCATTAGCCAATAATTGCAAGTCAGTAGGTATTATTTCTAGCTTTCTATAGACTTGATTTATATTTTTTTAAATTTGTACAGGAGGAATTTGAAAGTTAAAATGACCTCCTGTAAGCTCATAAAACTTGGATCACTTCTCGGTAAGATACCAAGATCCATACAAAATGAAAGGTATTACATGCATTATAGTAAAATTAATAAAAATTGATTTATATAAATATTATTAAAATTCCTTTGTTCATCATGATTATTCTTGGTGGCAATAGTCACAAAAAAAAAAATCATTTTCTGTCTTCTTTCATGTCTATATTCTATTATCTTATGTTGCTTGTTTATTGCCTATTTTAATACTCATTATTATAAACCAATCATTTACTTTAACATTAATTTATAATATTAAATAAACCTAAAATTAAAAAAAAAAAAAAAAGGAGGCAAATTTAATCTAAAACAGTGATGTATATAGATATATTAATGTATAGTTAACTAATAGCAACCAGATTTCCATCATTACTTTGTCATCCTATAGAATTAGTAATCTGTCATTTCATTTGAAAAATTAATTTTGAAAATTTAGCTTGGTATGGTAGCAGTTTACTGCTCTTAGTGCTTTGATAGAATCAGCTTAAGGATAACTAGGAATATCAGGATATAAAAAGAAAAGTACATTATATTAAAATATTTTTTTAAATAGTTAAAATAATAAATATAAAATGAATGTATGTAATTATGTACACTCACATAGAAAACAAAAAATACTTTTATAGAAACATAAATTAAAGCTTAGGTTACAAATAAAATAAATTATATAATCTCAATAAATTAATACTTTACAATTTTTATGAGTAGTGTTTATAATACATTTGGGTTTTTCAGATTATGGCTTTCATTTTCAATACCCTTATTTAAGGTCTTAATATCTATAACTTCTGGCACATAATTAAGCGCTTGAATATTAGGTGGGTTATCTGCTTCATCTTGACCTGAAACATAGAAAATTTCTTTGTTGACTAAACAGAACATTAAAAAAAGAAGTAACACATTGTAATTACAAATATTTATTTGTAACTTGCACCTACCAATTACTAGGAAAATTAAATAAACACATTCTGTAAAAATCTCAATCAAACAAATTATATTCGATACTCATCACACATCAATTATAAATAAAGTACCATATAAACTGATCAACAGATACATTATTGAATCAACTACAAAACCTAAAACATTCATAAAAAAAAAAATCTGGTGCAGTGTGCGCATCACACAACTCCCACTTACCAACTTACATGAATACATATGTATTTTCATGTATAAGGAACTCAATATGAAAACGGGATAACTTCATTTAAAACAACCATTTTTTCTCACCCATCAAATCTGTTAAATTTATACGATTGCATCACTTTTGGATTCAGAGGATCTTAAAATAAGCATTTCTGTAGAAAACTCGGATTCAAAAATTTCCATGATCACAATAGTTTCCTTATTATATATAACATATAAAGGTAAATGAAAGTAAAATATATTTAACAGGAAAGTGCTACATCATTTAGAACAGTTTGGTTGATCATATTCTGACACAATAAAAAATCTATGAAATTATGATGGCAAAAAAAAAAAAGTTTACTATAAATTTTATGCATCTGTGAAAATATAATGTTAGAAATTAGGATTAACAAAACATAATGATGAATAGTTACGTAGAAGTATACAGGACGTGAATTGGACTTAAAATTTTAGAGATAACCCATCAATAAAGCAATGACACCTTTTTTCTAAAATACTGGAAAATTTTATATCTTACTCCTACTCTCAGAAATGCATTTTTTTATTAATTCTTAAAAAACAAAGTACAAATTTTCACTTAAACATCAGCATTAACTTGATAACCATTTGCAAAATTAATATTACTCATTATCAATGTCCTCTGACATAAAAAATTATTCATAATTTTTTTAATTCAAAATTAAACAACATTTCTTTGTTTTTCTGTTGTCCTAACAGATTTTTTAGATCTTTTGGTACCTTAACACGGCTACTGATCTTAACATCTCTACCTATCTGGGGCTATTTCTTTCCAATTATCTGCATGCAACTCTTTAGCATCTTTGTTGATTTTATCTATCCATCTGCTTTTTGGCCTTCCACGTGGTCTTTAGCCTTCTACAGAGGCATTAATTGTTATGTAGAGGCTTTCAGATGGCTTGATCCGAGCTACATGCCCTGCCCATCTTAACCTGCGTGTTTTCATAACAGGAGATACTGATTGGACAGTTTCTGAAAGCAGCTCTTTGTTGATCTTTCTTCTCCATAGATGTGTTACTACTCTGATCCTAAATCGCTCTGGTTATCATGCATTGGATATATATACTCTCAATACTTTTTACTAGGGCACTAGTTAGTGTCAAGATCTCACAGCCATACATTAGAACTGGCTTTATCAAAGCATTTTACACTCCTAATTACAAATTTTTCAGGAATTTCAATACCTTGGAGAGGTCTGTTTGCACTTGTTAAATGATGGTCTATTTCTGACTGTTGGTCATTCATTGAGGTTGTTATGGAACGGAGGTATTTGAATTTTTCTACTGTCAGGAATGATTTGCCTTCTACACAGATCCTGTTATCAGGTTGCAATTTTCGGCTTATGATCACATATATTGTTTCATCTTCTTTACTTGTAGACCGATTTGCTCTGTTTCTCCTACCAGAGTTTTAGCGAGTTTCTCAATGTCCTGTTATTGATTCCAAGGACAGCTATATTATCTGCATATCCAAAAATTTTATGATTCATTCCAGCATGAAATACATCATTGATTGAATAAACTATCAAAACATCTCTTGGTTACTAAAACAAAATCAACCATAAATACATACATTATGGATATATTATAAATAGATTACCAGATAATCCTGTAAAGGTGGGACTGTAAACAGCAGTGCGGGACCTATAAGGGAGTTTTTCTATGTCTATGTCAGCCAAAGACAAGTCCCTAATTTTTTCAATAGCTTTTTCATCAAAGGTATCACACGATGGAAGTGGTGTACTACCTTGAGAGTGAGAATGCTTTCGATCTGAATTGCTTTCAAGCAGCTCTTCATGACTTTTCTTTTTGTTGGCTTTTTTATGAAGAGCATCGTCTGAAAATTAAAAGAAACATAAAAACTGCAATAGATATAAAACTATTTTATTATTCAGATTTAAACATGATTAAGCTCACCAATTTGACTAAGGTCAGGTGTAGGAAGATCAGGTGTCACATCACAATCCCTAAGAAGATCTAAACTGGCCGACCGGAACCTCCTCCCTTCACTTAGGAATTCTGCTAGAATTCCTTCTGTTCGCTCTACCCTTTCCTCCAGTTTATACCGGGTCTTCTTAATCTTATGTTTCAGTTCCACATGATTCTTTTCTAATCTTGCTTCCATATCTCTCAGAAAGTTGGCACAATAACAGGTCAGACCGACGCCCACAGGTCCCTGAAAAAGACTATAAATTAAGATTTTCATGGATTACACAAATTGTTTTTATTTCGGGCTAAAAGAAAGAGATATTCATTCCAGAATGTTTGCCGTATAGTTTAAAGTAACAAATATACATAATTTTCTTTTTTTCTTTAAAGTAATCCATCATCTAATGAAATAAAATAGCACAGCTAACCAGCCTACTACAATAAGACTATAGTGATACAAATCTCAAAATTAAGAAAAATCTGGAATATACTCAAACAACTTTCCTTAGTACACATCAGATATAAACCCAAACAGAAAACTAGTTTGCTGTATCTTCTTTTTTAATGGTGTTATTAAGATTTTTTCTTTTAATTTCTTTTTCGGTACTTATTTAATAGCGGGTGGTTCAAACCTCCCTTCTTATCTATTTCACATAACCTCTCTTATTTCATCTAACCTAAGTTATTTCCCTGTTTATGTTTTGTTTCTTCTGTTAGCTTTGAGTTAGTGTTATTTAATTATGGATGTTGTCACATTGTGAGAATTGCCGTCTTCATAAGAAGAGGCTATAAAATATTTTCAAGACACCGGGATATTTGCAAAGGTGAAATATTGTGATGAAGGTCACAATTTAGGCAAATGAAGTTTGACGGGAAGATTAAATGGAGATGCTTTCGTAGTTGTAACAAAACCGTTTCTATAAGGAAAGGAACGTGGTTAGAGGGGTCGAGGATTTCTTTTAAACAGCTTTAAAATTCATTTATGGGTGGTCCCATAATTATATCGTTTCTTCATAGTGTTTCTTTTATATATTCATATGCTGTTTAAGTGGTTTTTTATTATTTCATCTATTTTTGGCTATTTTTTGCCTATTTTTATTATTTCATTTATTTTGATATAAATGTTGCGATGTTTTCGTAATGTTTTTTAATTATATATTTATAATGCTTTGGTCTATTTTAATATATATGTTGTAAAATAAAAATATTTTTTTATTATTACATTTGTTTTTATTTTTGTTCACAATTTCAATATCAATACAATACAATAAATATGAATAAGAAGATGTAATAATACGAATATAATACAATTAATATGAATACGAAGAGCTTATCAGTGTTACGGTTATAAACATTGGCAGATAGCAGTCGGACGCTACCCGCTATTAAATAAGTACCTCTTTTTCTGTAAGTTTAGATTTATAAAAATTTAATAATCTTTCGAATGAGTATCTGGAATATTTCTAGGAATGTATAGTTTTTGAGTTAGTAGAAAATATAAATCTTGGCTAATAGCGATATATATATATGTCTGGGAACTCTTGCTCCATCCGCCATATTCACCAGACTTGGCCCATTTGCGACTGCCATTTGTTTTCATCGATGTCTCACACATGAAACATTTCAATTATTACAGCTTGATGACTGGACTACCTCAAAAGATGTATGGTTTTTCTGGAAGGGCATCCAAAAATTTCCAGAGAAATGGGAAAAATGTATAGGTAACTAATTTGTTTAAACTAAAACCTCGTGAATCTTGGGAATCAAATTTGAGTTTCTTTATTTCATAGTCGCATAACCACTGTGCCAAACAGTTCTAAATATGGAATCATTTTTATAATTTCAACTATTTAATTAAAAACATACCTTACGAATATTTCCAGCCAAATCCAAATAATATTGTTCCCCTTTACTCAATGGCTCTCCAGGTAAAGAGTCCAGCTTTGGCTGAGGGAACGCATTTGGGTCTGGATAGTAATGGCAACCATAAGGAGACCAGCGAACGGAGCTACCACATGCTCTCTAATAAAACAAATAAAAGATAAACAAAAATTACTAAACAATAAATGAAATATATATCATAGATTTGAAGTGAACTAAAATTGGAAGAAATATTTAAATAACAACAGTTTTCTACTAACTACAAATGGCTCTAGATGTTAATTTTAGTAAAAATTAAAATACATTATTGGCATCATTTTGTTTCTTCGACAGCTGGCAAAGATCTTCAACTCACAAAAATACAATTTTCATAAAACAACTATTTGTGAACAACATTAATTTCCTATTACCATTTAAAGAAAATTGCAGCAGAATTGCATAGAATGCTAGACGTAGCTAACAGTTAGCATACTATTAGTAAATCAAAGTACTTTAAGTGGTTCAAAACATTCACACAAATGATAATATTGACATGAGAAATGAGGAACAAATAAGACCACTGAAAAAGTATGAAGAAAGCGAATCTCCAGCAGGATGAAGATGATGCTCAAAACGCAGATCAATTGAATATAACATGTGAAGCTATTTTCATACATCTGAAAGCCAGCACGAAAGCCACTTCTGAAATGCTACTCACAATTTTAAATGTCAAAGATCATGGGTAACTACAGGCGAACCATCAACATCAATTGCATGTCCAAGTTGTTGTAGTAAGATGACAATGTTATGTTGTCATGAATGGGATCAGAAAGGTGAGCTCTAGCTGCTAAAACCAGCATAAATACTTAGTGATGTCGATGACAAATTAATAATTTCATTTTAGTATTGTGAGAAAAACAACCAGAATATCAAAAAAGACAACATCGAATGATTAGGCTTCATGATAATGCAAAATCAGAAAACAGAAATACCAACAAAGGAAATAATTGAGGCGTTTAGTTGAAAAATATTGATGCAGGCTTGCCTCCGTCCGACTGCTATTTACTTACATTGATGTGGCATGCACATGCTTAGCAGTGCTTCACTTTTTATAATAAAATATGAAAATGGCTTGATGAGTGGTTAACCAAATAAGAGCAATAGTATTTTTGACATGGCATTCATAAATTGCCAGAGATGAAAATAGCATAGAGCTAATGATGAAAAATATTTTAACAGTTTTATTCAATTAATGTGTATTTTCATATCCATATTTACAATCCTGGTATAAAAACTAATATGTTCTTTGTCTCTTAAAAGAACAGAGATAAAAGTCTCTCTAAAACAATAGAAATTACCAAAAATATTACTTAAACTTCATAATAGCTCAAGATATCTTTAAGTCATTCATAAGATTTTTTTTCCCCCTTCCTAGTCTTTTCAGCTTGTACGGGTTTCTCTCCTCCTTCTTCTCCTTCTCTTTCCCCTCTCCTCCCCCCGGACTAGGAGAGATAGAGATAGATAGATTAATAAGAGTTAAAAGTCTTCCTGGTACTGGGATTCTAATTCATAATCTTTGGTTTACCAGTTGCTGAGCAACACGTGTTTTACATACGTATTAATCAATAAACCCAATGTAATATTTGAATGTTACTAACATCCCTGTAGACAAATGATAAGGAAAGAAAAGAGAAGACAAATACAATAAATCAGTTTTGCCCTAAGAGTGTTCGATAAGTATTCTAAAATAAAAAATAAATAATGCATGAAAAACTAACCGGGTCATGATCCATCCTTTTGTTTTCTTTACTTTTTTTGTCAGAATCAGAAGTGTCACTAGTCTTCTTACTTTTCTTTTTACTTCCTTTCTGAGATTTTACACTTTGTAAAATAATAATTATTTCGTTTAAATCTTTTCTAGTAGCTATGTCACAGGCAGTTTCATATTGCTGAAAGTTGAAATAAGGTTAAATCAGTCATTTCAAATTAATTAAGAAATGTACAGATCTTAAATTAAAGAACGTGATGACCAAATGAAAAAGTGGATCATACCTTATTTCTAATAGATTTATCACAACCAGCTTCAAGAAGTATTGTAGTTAACTTCCTCCTTCCCATGGCAGCTGCAATATGTAACGCAGTATCCCCATTCTGAACAATAAAATTTAATTATACTTCACACTTCAAAGAATAGAATTAAAATTTATGAGAGAATAATAACCTTATTTTGATCAGAAACTCTACAATTTGCACTGATTAGAATTCTCGCCACTCCAGCATGACCATACCTTGCACTTGTATGAAGTGCTGTATCCCCATACTACAAAAAATCACAACCTATTAAAGATTATATTTAAACTTAAAAGAATCTGATTAGAAACAAATGATTTAAAAACTCAACTTCATTAATTAATCAAAACTCAATTCATGATATAATAATTAACAAGTCATTAAGTGCAAAACATAACAACACACACATGCAAATATTAATGAGAAGTTACACAGTGTAGTGAATATCTTTTGATGTAAGAAAATCATTTTGACGTATGGGACTATATAAAATTAATTTGATTAATTAACATTTATTGCAAATAAACTCCATAGATACTAAACAGGAATTTAAAATGAATAATTGTTTCAAAAAATGTTAATACAATTACAGTCAATGATATAAACTGGTAATTTTCAGGTACATCAAAAATAATTTATTAAAATTACATCACAATACTAGGAAAATAATTGAAGAACAATCAGATATTATATTGATCAATATTAATTTCTTAAAAAAAATTATTGAGAAAATTGCTTAACGAAAATTACAGCAATGCTTTTATGAAAGTGCTTCATTAGATATACCATAAAAATTACTATAAGCTTTGAACTTAGTATGGTTTTGAATAATTTTATGAAATTTGCATTCCTGGCAAAAAAAAAAACTCTACCGAACTAAGTAATAATTGTTTGCTAGAATGTGTAATGATGGATTGTTTTTCTTCTTGCCCAAGAAAACTTCTTGTTGAGTGCAGGCATCTAGCCTCACGCCCTAGCGTGCCCTGGACAGGACACAGAGGTGCAAGCACACAAATGGTGCTCACAGAGAGGCCTAACCCTAATATACAGCTTTCCACCGCTCGTCAGCACACTGAAACCAGATGGCTAACCGAAACTTTTTCACGACCAACTGAACACTGGTGTCCTACAGTGAGCAGTCGCAAACACATGACCATTACGGCCAAGCAGTGCAAGCACTCTTGCCGTCAACCCAAAACACTGCCAGAGCTCCAGCGGGGCCCTGTAATACCAATTTGATCAGATAAAAATAAAAATTCAAATCTGATCTCAGAGCAAGATTGGTCTCAGGCTCCACGATCATTACGATCACTACGGCTTTACATTAACTACCGATGAATTACAGCAGGACAAAATACCAACATTACTAGCAAGTAATGTTGAGTCTGAGTATTGACTGTACTGATCACATTGGCCAAGCTTTCCCTCTCCGACAAAAAAAAAAAAAAAAAAAAAAAAAAATAATGGTTGGAAAATTAAATTATTTTATTTCGCATTTACTGTATTTAGAATACAAAATGAAATATGTTTTGTGGGTATAACACATAGACCTCGATAGAGACAACTTCCTATTCTCAATGTATTATAAAAATATAATATCTATTATGACTATTTGTGGTGTTTGGTGAACTAAAGATATGTGAGTAGGGCGTTCAATCCTACGTCATACCCTCCAGCAAGCCTGGTGGGCCCCCCCTTCCAGCAAGTCTGGAGGTCCCCTCCCTCCTGCAAGTCTGGGAGGCCCCTCTCATTGTTGGTCAGCTAGTCCATCGGACTTAGCCGGGAGGAACTTCCAAGGAATTTCCAACGACCATCCCCACATCCGCCACCCGTGGGAAGCTCCCCATACGCGAGGGTATATGTTAAGTGAAGAAGTTGAAACTATAAAACTAAATACGACAACGTTAATGAAAGCCGGTAAAAAACTAGGACTCGAAAAATAAACGTGGATAAAACAAAATATATGGTTAGCTGCAAAAATTGCGATACTACTGGTGAATCGATATAGATGGTAATATGTTTGAACAGGTAGATAAATTTAGGTATCTAGGTTCTACGATAACTAGAAAAAACGAAATTGAAGAAGAGATTAAGGTTAGACTGAAGGCAGGAAATGCTTGTTATTTTTCTGTGACAAAACTGCTCAGTTCACGCCTCTTGTCCCGGAACTTAAAAATTAGAATCTATAAAACAATTATCTTGCCTACAGTTCTTTATTGATGCGAAACTTGGCCGCTTACATTAAGGGATGAGCAGCGTCTTAAGGTTTTTGAAAATAAAGTATTGCGTAGAATATTCGGACTGAAGAAGGATGAGTTAACCGGAGAGTTCAGACGGTTACACAACGCCGAATTGCGTGAACTGTATCCGGGTAATATAATTGAGGTAATATCGTCGCGGCAAATCAAATGGGCTTGTAAAGTTGTTGGGCTTAGTAATGAGAGAATTCCTAAAAGATTAATATTTGCTGCACCGAATGGTAAGCGTCCGAGGGGTAGACCGAAGCGAAGGTGGGAAGATTGCATTAAAGCCGATCTGAAGGGACTGGGTTTGGACGGCGAACGGTGGAGGGAGGTGTGTAATAAGCGATTGGTGCTGTCGGCATCGAACCTTCGGGTTCGCTAAGCCTTTTATTATTATTATTATAATATCTATTATATATTTTGTATATAATTTGTCAAAAAAACACATTTTTATTCATAACAACTAAGAACAAAACACAAAGACAAATACTACATCATTTAAATTCTAGAAAATACTGTAAATAAACTATCACTAAAAATTATGTTTGGTATCTCAATCACAGTGAAAGAGATATTTTTTTTAAATCTATAAAATAAAGTACAGAAAAATTGCTCAAAGCAACGGGAACCAAGTCTACAACAACAAAACACTACATGGAATATTCTATTAAAATAAAACTAGCTCACTGACGTAAGTTATTACTGAAGTATTATCTTAACCATCACTTTGAAAAGCTTCTGTGAACTGTTTTCTAATTTTCCTGAGGTGGATGGCACTAGAAAGAAGTACAAATCACTAGGCAATATATTTTGTGTGCATCTCTGAGATAAAATGAACTAAGATATAAACACATCTACATAAGATATAAAAATGTATTAAATAATTAAATTATAACCATTTTTTATTTATAAGCCAATTTTCAATTCCAATAGACTTAAGGATAAGTTAATATTAAATATAAATATTTCATAGTTCATTTATTTACACTTTGAATTTAAGCTGACCTAATTTTTCACAAATTCTTGTATCTCAATAAACAGTAAGTGAATATGAATAAATAAGAAATAATTATAAAGTAAAATAAACTTATACAAAATAATATTGAAGAAATAATTACTAAGTAAGTACGAAATAATAAGAAACCATAAAACATAGATTAAGAACCAACATTGTTAGAACGTAATAATAATAAGTTTATATTTTACATTGTTCTGGATATCAGCATCAGCCCCGCCAAGAAGTAATTCTCTGCAGCTTTGATTATGACCATTTTGGCAACACAAGTGAAGGGGAGCAAAACCAGCACAATTTTTAATATCAGCGTTGGCCTTATACTCCACTAGAGCAGACACAGTTTGACTAAACCCATGCCAGCTAGCCTCATGAAGGGAAGTATTGCCATGCTTTAATATTAAAAAAAAAATAATAATAATAAATAACTAGATTTAGTAATGTATATTTTATGATTTAATTTAGATTAATGTTTTATTTTCTCCGGATTTACCAAATTATCATGCGAATTGACATTAGCACCATGTTTCAGAAGAACTTTGACCACATCTACATGCCCTCCTGTTGCAGCGATTTGCAAAGCAGTTCTTCCCACCTAGAACAAAAAATATAAATTTACCTATGTATATTAAAAAAAACATAGAACTAAATCCAAAAAATACTTATTAACACCTAAATATGTTTCTTGTTTAATTGGGCAAGAGATGATGCCATAAATGAGCTTAACGCTGAATTTAGAAACTTGTTCAAAATCAAATTTCATTGCAATTGTTTACAAAAAATTTTATTATATCAAAATTAGTTCATTTAATTACTAGAAAATCAGTCTAAATTAAATAAAATTCATACACAAGTCACACATATTTAAGTTAGATATTAATAACCAAAAAAATATATGGAAAAATAACAACAGAGTAAAAGGTACAAAAGTTAAACAACTATACAGTTAATATATAATGTAAACCAGTTAATGACGTAGCCATAAATTAAAGTAGAAAGATTTTCTTCACATAATTACCTAAATATTAATTATTCTTGGCCAAATTTTATTTATTTTTTGTTTTTTTTATGATATGTCTTAAAATACGTAGGTATATCATATATGTAAATTCTAATGATTTTTAAATCTGAACAGAATCATTTATTTCTGCTATGTTCAATATAGAAAATGGGTATATCTATAACCTGGGTGTTTTCATTTTCTCCATACCCATAATTTAACTAATATTCACTCCATTTAATTTAGTACAGTTTTTATTTAAAAAGGAAACCAATACAGTAAATAATATTTGAAGTAGACCAAAACATCAATCGAGTTTGATAAAAAGAACACAAATAAAGAATATAAATGAGTAATATCTATCATGATCAGTTTGTAAAAAAAACAGTTTAGCTCTTAACTTAAGTAAAAAAGATAACTGAACAAATAAATTTGAGGAGTGAGTAAATTTTCAATTCATGCAATTCACCAAAGGCATAAAAACATCAATTTCTGTCATTTGTTTATTTTGAATGTTTATTGAAACAGAACTTTTAATAGTTTAAATTTTGCTATTCTTGTGTTTGAATACATGTCAAAGAGTCAACTATCTTGTTAATATTTACTCACAGCATCAGTGGCATTTACATTAGTTGAATTGACAAGAGTGTCGACTATCTCTGTATGACCTCCAGCAGCAGCCAGATGTAAAGGGGTACGACCACTCTATGCAAAAATAAAGATAACAATAACACTGCTATAAACAAACTATTAACATAGTAACTGTAACTAATCAAATCATACAGAATCTGGTGCTACTTTAGCCCCTCTTTTTAGTAGAGAAGTTACATCTTGGAGATTTCCCCTAGCTGAAGCGGAACGTATTTCTTCTTCCAACATTACATGCAAACATCTGAAATTAAAGAAAAATAAGCTCTAAAAACTTGTAATATTTTGTTGTCCAAAAATCAATTTTATATACATTGAACTAAGTTGTTTATAATAAGAAAACAGAAATATCCCATAAACAATTGTGAACCCTTGTCAAACCTGTCAATCAACAACAAACTTACTATTTAAAAAAGCATAAACTTCGTATCTTACCTGTAACATTAATTTTTTTCACTTGGTAAGCACTAACAACTCAAATATGACATGTTTCTTGAAATGTAGCGTAAGTAAATCAACAGGTTGGTCTATTAAAGTCCAGCTATGCGTCATATATAATAATTACCAAATAAATTTGTTTGGGTATTAAGAAGTAATTTATTTATTTGATTTGAGTTCCATGAAATAAACACCTTAACTGATTACAAACAACTTACTAAAAAAAAAAAAAAGGAACGAAAACGATTGTTTTCACAGACTCCTACATACGTACTTTCAATTTCAAAACGAGAATGAGAGCATCATTTTTCACGCATTCCTTACTTAAAGACTATTTTCCTTATTAGAATAAAATTTGTTATTCCTTAATAAGTTTTGCGTTCGATTTTTTATAAACGTTCTTTGTTCATAGAAAATAAAAACTTATTTTTTTGGTTATCCAAAACACTTGATCAAAACATAGAGAAAAAATTACTTGTATAATGCTGTTATTAAATAAAAAAATGATACAATATTCAACTAAATGAAAATTCCTTACAGATGTAAACAATGAACTTCCTGGATTTATTCGAGATCTGCTCTAGAATTGAATTTGAGCATATAGGAATTCAAAACCAAAAACAATAAATTTCCTAGTTATCAAATATTGATATTTTTCTTTTATATATAGTATTATTTTTTATATTTTCTGAACATTTTAAAATACTAAAACCAACCAGTCGCTGTTTTCTGAAAATTTATGGATTTTGCTTTTGAAAATTCACGTAAGATTGGGAAGGGGGAGGGTAACTGTCCCATTTCGTTTCCCTCAATATGAACAAAATATAAGCAAGTAAAGTAATGATACTTTCCATAAACAAATCAAATTGGTGAATTATTATTTTTTATAATTAGTCTAAACCTCATCCAGTGAGTAAAAACGCCTTAGGCTCACAGAAAAAAAATAAATGTTTACTATTTATGTAGTCACTAAACATTTTTATTTCAATATAAAATAATTTATTTATTTCATCATTCGATTATATATAGAATAAATATAAATTAAAAAATAATCAACTATTCAAATACCTTGAAAAAATGATATCCATATATTAACAATGTGATATATTAATTGTAATATGTAATTGGACCACATCCCTTCCAGACACAGGATGATCTATGGGGGGGGGAGGATTTCGTGCTGAAGCCCCCTCCAAAATGGTAAAATATAACTATATTTTACAGATAAAAATAATAAAAACTATCTCTTAAAGTAAAACCTATCTCTTGTTCGTGTAATCACATTTAATAGGATTTCAAGAACCACTTAAACACCATTTCATACAGGTAGTTAATGTCTTTTATTTTTCTTCTAATTAATTATTGTTATATGTATATGAAAAAAAATCTTTCGGGCTGAAGCCCCCCCCCAAAATTAAATCCTGGATCCGCCAGTGCTTTCAGAATCACTCGACTCCTTTTTTTTACAAACAGAAAGGGGGGGGGATAGCAGTTGATAATAACAGGAAACGGGCTGTCTCTGATTATTGGGTGTCACAATTCCTCACAGGGAATGGATAGTTTAATGCCAACCTTCTTGGCTTTTGAAAATAAATTAACCCCTAACTAGCAGATCCAGACAGCGGTAGCGGGGGGCGTCTCTCTCCCCTGGATGATGGGGGAAAAGTTCCAAAAAGCAGATATTTAAAGCAAAGAGAAATATAGGAAAAAATCATCCTCTAAGACGAATTTTCTAATGTAATCATCATCATTCCACGCTCGACAATCCTTTACTGGATCTTGGCTACATCAAGAGTTTTCCTCCTTGTTTCTTTGTCCTAAACAGCCTTTACCTGAGGAGGCTCAGTTTCGGTGACGGGATGTAGCGCCATATATGTAAACAGCCTTCACCAGTTCCTGATTCGAAGGATTCCAGCATTAGCACTTACTCCATCTTCCCATCTCATTTTCGGTCTGCCCACTTTTTTTTTTCCACCTGCTTCATGCTCAGCAGCTTCTTTGGGACTGAAGTCTTGTCCATCCATACAACTTGGCCATCTTCCCAACTTCCCATCTTAGCCTTGCTATCCGTTTATATTTCACTACATCCGGCTCTTTGTATAAGTTGGCTAGTTCTTGGTTGCGTCTAATTCTCTATTCATTATTCTCCTTAACTTGGCCAACTATCTTCCGAAGGACCTTCCATTCGAAAACTAATGTTTAATGAAAAGAGATATATAGGGAAAATTCATCCTCATAGACGAATTTTCTAATGTAATATACTAAAAATTATTTTCGTGACCAGCAATAGCGAATTCTGCAAGGGGGACGACCATCCTCCTGGATGGTGGACTAAAAATTCCGAAAAAGTAGCTATTTAAAGAAAAGATAAATATAGAGAGAATGCATCCTCATAGACGAATTTTCTGATGTAATATTTAAAAAAATTATTATCATGACTATTTTTATTAATCTTGCCGTTTGTCATATTTTGTGAAACAAAGAATAAAATGTAAGAGCAAAAGTTGGCTCGCAGGGTGAAGTGATGTAGGTTTTGGTTCACGTGAGATGCGAAGGCTTTCGATTCTGTCGCAATTTGGTCCTACTGACTCCGAACTGAGTCTCGCGGGTGAAATACATGATGGAGGAAAAGTAAAAAAAAAAAATGAACTTCATTTATTCTTTCGACCCACCTTTTATTCAGTTCTAATAAATCTGGATCCCTTGCAACCTCCAGTGTACTTGTAGAATCCATGGGATTTATAAAACTAGTCACGATAATAATTTTTGTATTTTTGATTAGAAAGTGTTCTTTTCTTAAAATAACTGTTGTTGAGCACTTTCTCGTGAAGGAATTTACTTATTATTTGGTCTTCGATTTGACTGGAATCGAAAATAATTTTTTTTTTCTTGGAGAACTTCCATTTCCAAGCTGCAGGGCCATTTATCGTAATCTGTCTCAGATTTTGACAATATTGGTAAAAATAAGAGTTCATTGAACGTGGTTATCGACAATATCATTTAATCAAATTCTTAAGTTTAGGTACTGGTTCGACACACAATTTGACGTTCTTTAATTTCTTAAAGAATAAGTTTTTCGCTTTGATGCCCAGTTTAGTAGTAATACATGAAAAAAAATTAAGATAAATCTGGATTTTTTGGCTGTAAAAAGTATTTTCTTGGTAATCCCTGTTAGCAATTTTGTTTTTTACTTGTCTAAACCCATACACAGGGTGTCCCATAAGTAGAAGGAAATATTTAAAGTAGTGATAGTAGAACTCAAGGAATACAAACAAGTTTTTATAAACAATGGTTGGATTTTCAGCAGGAAATCAAAGCTTTTTATTTTTTAAGTGGCATGTTTTTTTTTTCAATCGCCTACGTTATCTCCTTCCATATAAGTCCTGTCAAATCCTAGTTTCCTCTTTTGTTTTCCCCCACTTCGACTATATGATGTATGGTGGACTCTCGGGAGATCTCGAAGCCAAACTTAAACGCCTAATGAATTGCGCATTACGTTTTGTTTTCAGAATCTCAACAGATACGCAAATTACCCAGTATTACACCGAGATGAAGTGGCTCTATCCATCCTATCACAGTCAGTACTTCCTAGCTACCTTTCTGTACCAGATCATTAGAACTCATCGACCCTCCTATATTTTCCATAGCTTACAATTTAAATACTCCATCCAATCCCATTCTACTAGATCTTGCACTTCCGACCTCTATCCCACTCCTTACCAAAGTGCCGCGTTTCACAGATCATTTGCAATTCAAGCCGCCTCCTTCTGGAATTCCATCCCTGATGATATTTGACACACAAACAGTTTTCTCTTTCAAATCTTTCCTCTTTAAATACCTACTCCTTCTTCAATCCGCCTGATTACGAAATATACCTAAGAGAGCTGTCTAGGTATCCCCAGAAAATGTTATTTTAGTTTTCTCTCTACTGCAGCACTTACTAGACAAACGATCTAAGCTTTCAATCAATTATAAACGACTCGTATATATGACAATAATAAGACCTATTTGGACTTACGGAATTGAGCTTTGGGGCTCCACTAAACCATCGAATTCCTCTCGTATCCAATTCCTTACAATCCAAAATCCTTCGTGAAATCCTCAACGCTCCTCACTTTGTCACAAATAAAATCATCCATAAAGACCTTAATGTTCCATATGTTTCTGATCTGGCCCAATCCAGATACCTTTCCTTCCATAACAAACTGCAGAAACTCCTCGATCCCTGATAACCCTCCGAGGCGTCTGAAAAGATGGCCTCGGGATCTTCTAATGTAGAACTTTAATTTGAGTTCTACCAATGGGTAGTTTCTCTTCACGTTGTACATGCCATGTTACCAATTTCTCATTTACTTATTGTATTCTCTATGTAATACAGTTGTAAATTCCATTAAAATAATATTAAAAAAAAAAAAGTTTTCTCTATTTGTATTATGTACGCTTATTATGAATGTATATTTATGCTTTTCAAGTCCTTTTCTCTCTTTCCATCTGTATTTTTACTTTTAAATAACCAATATTGTAAATATCTACTCTATTTATGATCACTTACACATGTATTCAGCATTTATAATTTGTTTTCTTGTTGAGCACAAATCAAATTTTAGATGTTAGACTTATATTTTCAACAAATTAGGTTTCTGAATTCCAACAGTCATTACATTAAAATAAAAATACAATAAGTAGAGTGAATTTCTGTAGATGTGGATGCAATCATTTTACAAAGCCCAAACTAAAAAAACCTGGTGCACCTATCACATCTGTGCAAAGTGTGCTACCTTGGAAGGCGATGTCAATTATACTTTATCTACAAGAATATGGCAGACCGAAGCTTAACTCATAGAGCACCCTCCCTTCAAGTAGGTTAGGAATTTGTTTTTTTGTTAAATTATTTATGAATTTCTATTTCTTTATAATTTCTTGGTTTCATTCAAAATATTTCAAATATATTCTCACATTTGTGGCAAAGTAAAACTAGCATGTTTGTTGAAGGGGAAAAAAAAGTTGTTAACCTAAGGTAATAAAAAATCTGTATTATACAAAACATATAAAGTAAAAAATATAGTTACAACAAAGTAGGAACTGTTAATTATTAACAAAAAATAAAATTAAGAATGTTTAAGTTGTTTGTTTAATGAATTCGATGAGAGGTTTGTACTGTGAATTTTTTTTCTGAGGTAAATTATTAATTAATTTGCTGTTAGCAACACTAATCCAAGGAATAATGCTATAATTATTAATCAACAGCTGTTTTTCATCGACGAATTCAACACATTTGGCCACTAATTCTTCTATTAATTGCTGAAATAATACGATGGCATTAGAATGGGCAATTTCATAAAAAAAATTATAAATATTTTAGAAAAATGTCATTAATTACTTTTGTTTTTTGAGAGGCCAAATTGCAAGAATGGTAATCCAATATAAATTTAAAGCTTAAACAGTTCAAGGCTAATTGAAGATCTCTTTGTTCTCTGATCCCATCCTTTATAACTTCTAATAGCCAACGTTGATGTAATCTAAAAATAAAAAGGTGTATATAGTTTTGTACATAAATTAAAATACGTCAATAGTGTCAAAATTGTATTTAAGAATTACTTTTGATTTCCTTGGGTATGATGAAACATTTCGAAAAACGCAGGTACAGTATTTAGTTTCAAATGTGGTTTAGCAAAAATAAAATTGTGCAGGCTGAAGTATAAATAATCATCAGGAAATGCCATGATTATAGATGCTCGGGCCAAGAAAGTAGTGATAATTGAAGAAAGCCTTACATTATCATTTTCATTTAAATCCACTATTCCTCCCCTCACTGCCTCAATGAAATGCCTCCAAATAAGATTGTCTTTATGTCTAAAATGTTAAAAAAAGAAAAACATAACATAAAAGTAAAAATTTATTAAAAGATTTACTAATGGGAAAATATTATTTTAAAACAACTGATAGGTATATTTGCCGATCATGTGACAGGCCAATATTTTGAGATAGGATTAATAAAACATTAATGTAAATGTTACATTCAATCACTGAATAAAGTTAATGACAAATACTTTTACCAATCCTTGTGGAAAAATGCCCAAAATGTGTGTTTTCTATATTTATAATTGTTATTATATTTAATTACATTTAATTAATGCCATAATAGGTTACTATTGATAAATCAAAATCACCAGTTTGTCTTTCATTTATTAGACAGCTGATATTGAGTTGCTGATAACATAATAGTATGCAAACTGCTCTAGCATTGAACATGATTTATTTACTGATGTTGAAAAGTAAAAAACCTGCTGAAGCTAAAACTATTAGTAAATTATTCTTTAAAAATAAAAAATGAAAAAACTTGAAATAAATATATAAAAAATGCATAATGATGATAAATAATATATTTTATAAAGTTTATCAATAATTTTTATATCAAGTATTTATTGAATCAAATTATTTAAGAAATAACTCACTCCTCTATATTGGTGTACATTCTATGAAGTACATGGTAAGCAGCTGATCGAACCTCTGGATCCGAACTCGCAAGCGCTGCTAAGGTAAGTGCTAAAGCACCACTTCCTGCTAACTTCCAGCCAAGGTTTTTCTCCGATGCTACTTGACTTAATAAAGGTAAATAAAACGCAGGATCGTATATCTTATCAACATTTGTATCGTAATCACCCTGAAAATAAGCTAATCAATTAAACCTAAGGTAAATATAATTAATGCATATATATTATACAACTATGTCTTAAGTTCATTCGACTGAACCAAAGTAAAGATGAACTTATTCTAAACCAACAGTTAAGTAGACCCTACACGCTAATTCATGAATGAACGTCACAAGAAGTGCCAAGATTGCCAGCTATCGCTTTGATCATGAAGACCCTTACATGTTTAATTATTACTTAAGTGAAGTTTCCACTTTTTTTTCTCTCCAATTTATTGCCTACTTGACTATTTAAAGAAAAAATAGTTGAAAATGGTTAATAATAATATAGACTAGGGATATAAACAACTATTTACTTTTATGAAATTATTTACTTAATAACGAGACCTAGGTAAACTGACCTATCTAGTAGTAAGGTTAGTCTCATAGAAAATCGTTTTGACAAAAGTTAGTAAAATATAAGTCTACTACTTACAAAAATTAAGGAAAGGTATTGCGAAAATAATAAATTTGTCAGTACTTCATTCACTACCTTACACAATTCGGAACGTCATTAGTGCAATTCCGATTGACCGTGTAGGGTCCCCTTTACAGAAGGAGGTGATTGTAAAAAGGCCACTCAGATGATATTTAACAGAATAATAATTATCTGCCACAACCAAGATCCAAACATGGATTTGAATAAAACTATAAAAACGAATACGAGGAAACTATCATGGAAACTTAATCGAACTTTAAAGGTAGCAGTAGTTTATATAATTGATTTACTAACTAAAGATATACATTATTATAATTTAGTTTGAATTCTTGTTGTTTATTGTACTTTGAATTCAGAATATTTTCTAAATTAGAACTTGTTTTATGTAAATATCAATTGTAGTGTTCCTCCTCTTGTTCTATCACTCATTAAATATATTTATCTCACTTACTAATTAAAATTAAAATTTTTAAATTTTATTATTTATTTTCTATCCTCAGTTTAGATATCTATATAACAGAAACTAATAGATTGAAACAATTTCTCCCAATAATTAGTAAAGGTACATTTTGTAAACACATCAGAAGAACAAAACAGTTTGGTTTACTTAAGTTTCTATTTGATAATGCATTATACTTAAACCAATCTACAATGATTTTTAATTATTTTCTTTTATATTTTTATTTAATTTTTCTTTATGGCTCAAAACTAAAAGCTCAAAATTATTAAAATTTCTTCAAAAACAATCAATCAGTTCAAATGGTAGATATTGAAGAATGATCAATTATAACTATAATGTAAGTGATACTAAACAAAACGTAAAATAAAAAAGTAAGACTAAATATTATTCTTCCTATAAATATAACTAGTAAAACTTATACCAGGTTTTGGAATAATGAAAGTGACGTCAAATAAACAAATCAAACATTACGCTAACACTTACATTTAACCTCCTGTCGAGAGGAAATTCACTGATAGTTTTTAAAACAACTTCTTTATCAAATAAGTCTAACGTTATAGTATTATTAGGTTTTACAGATGAGAGCTTGGTTCTCACGCTGTAATGATCAACAGCAGCTTCACCCCAAACATAGGGTTTCCAACCAGCTAGGTTTATACCGCCAACTCTCTCATAAATATACAAAATCTGAAATAAATTAAAAAATATTTTCATAATTTTCTATATATTTTGAAATAATTAAAAATTAATAAATCATAATTATCAATTTGATATATTTATTTAAATTTCATCAATCCTTATGACAACTATGTTATGAAAAGTATAGAATACCTTTAAAATTATCTGGTCCAATTTACTTAAAGTAGCTCCATAACAAGAAAGCAACACAGGAACATGTTTAGAATTAATAAGAGAATTATCTTTAGTTACAAGTACCAACATCAATTTTAAGCAGCTATCTAAAAAATAAATATTAAAATATTAACAATTTTTCTGACATTATTTACTCATAACAACACATATAGTTAAATCAACTTACACATATTGAACAAAATCTTAAGCAAGAAGATATGAGAAAATACTTAACTCAAAAAATAGACAAAATATATATACATAGAGATACAGCTGTTTATTAAAATTAAACTAAACTAATAAAAATGGACAACTTCTAAGATTGACATTCCATAGAACATAATAGAGTCCTACCATTTTAACAAAGCTAAACATAATCATAGATGAATTAAAACATGCTTACGTTTTGCAGAAGTATTTTCCCCTAGTACAACATCAAGAAAACAAGAATGTGAAGTTAATAGTTCAAATATTTCATTAGGAGGAAGTTTGGTCAGATTTTTTTCCACAAGACTGAATAAAAGATCAAGAATAAACTGAGATGGAAGCCTTAGTCCCTGTAGTAGTAGATGCATAACAAAATCGTTGTCAGCAGTGCTCAATCCGCTACCATCAATATCATCCTGTAGTATCCATATCAATATTTTACACATTTCTTCACTAAAAAAGAGAAACTAGTGTAAATAAGGCATGCTGTTGTGATGATTAAGCATCTCATAAAAATAAGTATTACACTACTCTGATACATTATGAGCCCAGAGATAGGATGAAAAAAAATTGAAAACCAAATAGTTCATAAAATTTCTTCGAGTTTAAACAGAATAATAATGTCATTAATATGTTTTAAAAGATTTCAAGATAAAACAAAATGTAAAAGCTACCAACTACAATTTTTGCTAAGAAAAAGTTGATTACTTTCTTTCTGTTCCTTCGCCAAATCTATACTTTGGTAATAACACTCTCCGTCTGAAAAGAAGATGGCCTCAAGATCTCCTTTTGTAAATACATTTTTAGAGTGCTACCAATGAGTAGTTTCTCAACAAGTGATTTCATGTTATTATATTCTTTTGTTCACATTTACTGAATGTATTTTTACTTGTAATACAGTTGTAAATATCATCAATAAAAAAAAAAAAGTAATAACAAAATTGTGAAATATTCAATAATTATAATTTGAGCATAAATAATTGCAAACTCATCAATACTGAAGCATAGATTTTGCTCAGGAATAGGTAGAAAGCAAAAAATTTCGTCAATGCAAACATTGCAATTGAACACATTTAATTCCAAACTGGCAATATCGATTTCCTTCCTTAGTGAATAATGAGGCATGATATAGTAACACAGGATAAGATATTAACTTATCATATATTTGTGGATGAAGTAAAGATAACTTCAAATCAATCAATAATAATATCTAAATAATAATCTGTATCACCTTTGTGCTTGATCAAAGCCCTCTGGTTTATTGAACTCATCACTTAACCAATCTGTTACTAATGTATATAGTGTGAACATCTCTTCAGATTTTTTAAATATTTCTTTTATAACTAACAAACTTTCTGTTGAAGTAAAAATATCCTTGGGGTGTTTTTTTACTAACTTGCAAGTTTTCTTGCATGTCTCAGGAGCTACAAATTAGAAAAAAAATTAATAAATAAGAAATACAAAATAGAGATGAAAACTTTTGAGATTATGTACTCACGTAAAAGAGTATCAATTATTTTTCTCAAGTCCACCAACCATTTCGGAGAAGGTCTTGTGGATAAACCATTAAATATTATCTGAGAAGAATCAGAAACAACATCTTTGTGTCTTTTTCTAAACTTTTCAAGTGAAGCTAACAGAGTAACAGCTCTATCTACAGAAATGTTGGTATAATCAACTTTGTCCAAAAGAAGATAAATAAATATACACAAATCTTCGTACCAAGTGATAGCAGTAGACATCACAATGAACAACTCTGAAAAAAGATCTATTCAAATTTTTATGCAATATTTTACTTCTTCTTCATAGTTTTTCACTGAAAATACTGTTAGTTCTATCATTTAACATTATATGCCCTTCAAAATGATGCATGCATATAAGAAATCATAATTGACTACAGAGGATTCTCAATCTGGGTGTGTCCAAACACATGCCAGCTTTCCAGCTGCAATATTAAATATTTAAGGTAAAAATTGCAATTTAGTGAATAGACATTCTAAAAACAAACAAATTTATATTTATTAAAATTAAAATCAATCAAATTTAAGATTATATCAAAGCATTATACTTTTAGTGTATGTACTAAAAAACAAATTATTATTTATAACTATATATCCCCACACATATTATTACAGTAAGGTTTTGAAATCGGTATTGTACCAAATATAAGCTCCTGTTATGCTTAAATACCATGAATGAGGTACTGTTGGATTCAGAATTTCAGGGAGGTTAGCAAATCATACTCTCCGTTTTTGTTTTCCTTTCTAAAATAAAATAAGTTGATATAAACATTTTGCTAGGCTTCAATACTGGAACAGTGGTAAGTTTGTAGATTGATAAAGGATAAATTGGGCTTTGAAGATTTTGAAGCGTACATCAAGATCTAGTTCTTTTGCCCAGCGTTTTTAAGCCCAAAAATGTACTATTTTCGAGATAATGCAAGGCAAAGTGTTCACATCCACACAACTTAATGGTAATTGTAGTAATGTCATGGAATTTATATTGTTTATCAAAGGTGATTTTTTGTTGGTAAGCCATACCATCATTAATTCTTCATCAAATCCACAAGATTGAGTCACCAATTTTGAAAGTTTCCTTCTCTTTCAGGTGAGAAAAATAGTCCAATCATCAAGAAAATTCAGGCAAAAAAGTTATGAAAGAAAAGAAACTTTATTTGTGAATTACTCAAAATTTAAACACTTTCCTATAAGTCATGTCCTTGATTATATAAAAGACTACTAAATTCCCTACAAAAGGAGAAAAAAAAAATCATTGAAATCGGACAATTATTAGCAAAAAGACAGCTTATTGAACTTTGTAAAAATAATGGTTAAAGAAGTTTTAAATTAATTTTTGTTTGCTTTGTCGATTATATTAGTAACAATTGATTTCTATTATGATACATTGCAGTATTATGTTTTCTTATTAATTTGTTATTTGATCACTGAATAATATACTGTGGGAATTTTCGCACATGCCTACTAGTTCATTATAATTTAAGGAGAGAATAATTATAACTTGGTTATTATTGGGATATTATAAACAAAGCCGTTAGACTCAAATAACCAACCAGTCAACACTTTACCCATTCAGGATGGTTTGTGGTTTTCAGACATCAGGATTACAAATTACAGAATTACAAACATGTAGAATATTCACTTAATGATTGTTAACAGCCATCTATTGAAAACAGTTCAACATTCACTATATATCGATGGCTTATTTCTAAAATCTTGGAAGTGAATTAGATTTATAAAATTTTGTAAGTCATCAATTGAATTGTTTATCAGAAATATTTTGTTTCTAAATTGATTATATTAATGTGATTTTAGTTGAATTTCATCACACAGCTAAGACCATATTTTTTTTTTTTCATTTTCCTGTTAAATAGATTAAGAACAAAAAAAAAAAAAAACAGATATATTTTAGACGTGAAAATGGTATCTATAAGACCCAAACATTGTCTTAATGAATAAAAACTAATCATTATAATTAATGGAGTAAAAACCCATAGCCATCTTACAGATTAAGATTTCTTAAAAATAAAGCAAAGTATAAGGGAAAAATGAAATTAAGAATTAATTTATGATCAAACTTAAAACTAAATTTTCTTTTGTGATTATGTCATTAAATAATTACCTTTAAAGGAGTCCAGAAGAGTGCCGCTTACATCTAACTCAAAAGCTTTTAAATATTTCAAAAAACAATTGCATAATTCAGAAACATCATAATCTCTCTCTATTAGTTTAATTAAAACACTGATCAGACCCTTTAAATTCTTTTCATTTATGGTAATACTTAACTCCACTGCCTCGTTCAGTAAATAAATGACCACTGTAGCCCATGGTGATAGTTTTCCATTACGTTCAAAGTACCTTCAAGTCAATATTAGATTAATCAATGAAAAAAATATATAAATCAAAAACTTATCTTTAAGGTAAAAGAGTAATCAAAAATAGAAGAAAAACATACTTAGCTTTCATAGCAAATACATAATCTATCAGGTCTTGAACATCTGACTTGGACAATTTGAAAATTTTCAGTAATTTTTTCAGCTTTGAATCATCTTCAAGATTGTAGCATATACTTTTAGCATATTTTAATTCAAATGAGAGCCTAAAATGATGTATTATTGATATATTATAATGTATTATTGAGCAACAGAAATAAATAGCTCTACAAAAACATAAAAATGTTCAAATTAAAATTTCTTAGAATACATCAGAGTCTAATAGACTATTAACTTGTTTAGTAGTTAGTAGTTCCTTGGCTAAGCCCATTTATTCAATAAATATTGGACAAACCTCATCTATTTAAAAATTTTCCTATTTAATATTTATCTTTATTAGAAATAAATGAGCTATCTTTTAAGTTGGGTGCCATTTTGTTTTTTAAAGTGTTTTTATAAAATATTAGACCAAAGATCATCAAATGTACACAGTTTTCACATCATATTATTACCCCGGCTCATGGCAGAAAATTTATTTATCTGTTTCATTAGCCGTGAGGCGACCCTGGGTCGGTAGACCCTCCTGGGGCACACCCAGCCTCTATAAAGTGGGTACCCTTAATTAAATAATTGATTAAGGGGGAAAACCTCGTGGTTGAGCGTGATCCCGGTCAAATCACCTCCTTGCACAACCGTTGACCTAGAAATAGTACTGAACCCCAGACCCTTCATGGGTTGTAGTGGTACAGGGTTTTTATAATGATGTAGTTTGAAGTATAACAACTGAATTAAAATTAGTTTGCAGGATCTTGAAAATGGCTCCTGAAGCTGAAACGTCGAATAAATAATAGGATGTGAAAACTGTGTACATTTGGTGACCTTTGGCTTAATATTTTATAAAAAAACTTTAAATGAGCTAAATACATCATTGAAGTCTTGATGGTGGACTATGTTATAAAGTCCTAGTTATATTTTTATGGGTTCCATACCCACCTGGATAACCTAGAGACAGTATTGTGATGCTTTATTTACTCAAATTATGTGGTGAGAACTTGAATCATAAATGAGGATGTCCAGATAAAAATGCATGTTGTCTATTATCTAACAAATTTCATTTTATACTGGAATTAAAACTTATTTTTGGCAAGTAGTCTAGGTCTTAAAATACTTGGGATCATATTGCTTTGCTCATTGAGCTCAAAAGCCCAAGAAGAGAGTAGAGTTTCATTTCACCAAAGGCCCACAGAATAAATCCTAACTTCTGACCGTACATAGAATAGATAAAAGAAAGAAAAAAAAGTGGTTTGTAGAATAAACAAGGTGTCCACAAAAGTTCGTCAGTCAGATTCTCTGACTTTTCCTTACCTTAAATAATATTTCCTTACTCCATCCCCCAAATAAATAAGTGCAAAAAACGTAAAATGTAATAAAAAATCTTCAATCAAATTATTCCTTAACAACTATCCCAGACTACAAAATAAAAAATCCAAACCAAATTTGAGCCTTTTCCAAATATTAGAACATCAATGTAAAAAAAAAAAAAATTATTTTCCAATGTCAAAAAACATTGATGTCCTGTACTCTCTAACTAGGAAAAGACAGGGAGGGAACAAAAGAGAGTCTTTATAAGTCCCATTACAATGTTATCGGAGATGCTTTTTATGAAAATGTGGTCAATTTTAAGATTTCCAGCTCAAATGTAGATGTATTTAAATTTCTTTGTTCCCTTTGATTATAACCTCCATTATTATAAATATATATCATAAGATCTTGATGAGAAAGTTCTTGCTTAACATTAATTTACTGCAAATAACAGGAAAACGCAATGTAATTATCAAATCGAAAGATTATTATTAGTAAGTGAGTATAGCTTCCCCATCATTTCTATTGAATTAATACGAAAAACAAACTTACTGTTTGATTGTTTATTTTGACTTGTTTTGGAAAATTTATTTCCCTCTTTAATATCTTTAATGTCAATTCCATTCAACATAAGCTATCTGGGATAAATTCTTGTCCCTTGTCCTTATATGTAATGAAAACTCCTAAAATAAAAAATATGGATAAGCATAAACTATTTGAGATTGTAAGTTTATTTTTAAACGGAAAAGAACACTGCAATAAAAAGTTCTAATAAAATACATTAAGTTGAAAAATTAGCATAGCGTCCCAGGACTGGGACTGGAGAACCCAGTTTTTTTTTTCCCTACATCGGGAAGCATAAACATAATTTATCGAATCTTCAGTTTATCAGGTTGGAGGGCAAAAATTGTTTTGCAAAACACTATAGCCTACTCTGCTACCCAGTCCCATAAGGATCCCATTGTGTCTGGTTCTGAACATTATAGGTTCGATTCCCGCCAGTGTTAGATAATATTTATTTCTCAGTGACCTCAAGAATATCTCATGCCTACTCTGGATAGTAGTCCACTTCCGGACTTGTTCCTCCCACCACTACCAATATTAGTACCAGGACCAAAACTAGAATTTTGCCAGGAAGTGTAAGCTTGATTTTGCCACATCTTCTTCCACCTCCTGCTACCGTAAAAGATAGAATTTGACAAAATTGATACGGGTTCATTTTTTCACTAATCCCTACCCTTTCTCCATTTTAGTGCTAAATCAAATGAGTTGTTTTTAAAAATATGAGCGTATCAATGAAAAATAGTTAGCACGTTCATGAGTTAGAGCAGGGGTCTCCAAACTACGGTCCCCAGGCACCTCCAATCCGGCCCACGAAAGTTTCTTTGGTTACAGGTAACATTTTAAAAAAGTGGAATTTAATAAATCACTGAAATACAATGTTACTAAAACATATATTGCATGAGTTGTTGCTTTTAGAAAGCTCATTTCACAACTGTATTGTCATTTAAAAGAACAAGTTTTGTTTGTCAGAAAGTTAAAAAATTGTTTTGCTAAGCACTTTTTCAAAAAGTATCGTTATAAATTTATTTTATTATTTCATTTTGTTAGCCTTACGACCATCTACAATTATTTCTCTTCAATGTGGCAGATTGTATTATTATTCAATGAACTTGTTTTGTTACAGATTAAATAAAAAAAAATTATGAAATATAATATAATTATTAATAGTAGATATATAAATAGAATAAAACATTTAAACTATTGTGTACCTATGAGAAAAAGGAGCAATAGTTTTCGGACTTAAGCTGCAGTGCTCAGATATCATTATGACAAGATTGGTCAGATCTGAGTCACCTACATCCATCATAGGATGGAAGTTAGCAAGCAATGTAGGATGGTGCATAGGTACTTGGAGGCCAGTATCAGTTAGGCAGAAGCGCACAAGGCACGATATTTGTTCCAATCTCGTGGGTGTTGCATGCCCCAGCCTTGACAATTCACAGGCCATGAAGATACACTCTTCTAATAATAGCTCTGTACCCTTTACGTCATTCAGTATGTCTTTAGCCTGAAATTAATACCCAAACAATTTATATAAGGTGGATCAATGATATATATATATATATATATATATATATATATATATATATATAAAATATCCTAAAATTTATTTCAGATTTCTAAACTAATTAAATAGAAAATGAAACTATGTAATTTTCCAATTTCATGATTGAAATAAAAAGATCAACTAAATCTTTAGGACTAAACAAATAAATAAATATACTTACAGAGTCGTAATCAAATTTCTTTCCATTTAAAACACTCCTAGAGGCATTATAGTAAACAGATTTGCTGAATGGGGAAATATTAATGGGTGTTGGTATATTTAACCAAGACTCAGTATAATGAAGGATTTTTTCAACTGATGGATTTTTGTACTTATTTAATAACACGATATAAGGTTGAATAGAAACCTAAAACACAAGAAGATAAGATGAGTTAAATCATCTAATTAGTGCATACAATTTTCAAGTTTATCTGAACCTTTAAGTAATAAAGTATAATATATATAAATGCAATTTATTCTCTATGATATAATTATTTATTTACAAATTTAACTGAAATTCCTTCCAAAGCATAGAAACCTCTTTCCATCTCAACCTTATTATTTATCATTTTATTGGCTAATGACATAAAAATTTAATGTTTAATAGATCTAGTCAGTTTTTTTTTACACCTTTTAAACGCTTTTTCACCCAATGGCTTACCTGTTGTTTTGTTTGTTAAATAAACTTTTGTAAATAAGTTTATATTTTTTTAACATTAAAAACAATAATATGGTCATTAGATTTCAAAAAAAAGATTGGGTAACGGGTAAGTCTTTGAAAAAAAAAAAATAATAAGAGCAGGAAAGAAGACTAGTGTGATGATCTCTAATCATCTTCAACACCTTCTATCCCATGCTTTTCTTCTGTTTTCCTTATGTTTAAAATACATTTTTTGATACTCAACCTAGACTTTTTTTTATACCAAAAGCTTCTTGTTCTTAATGTTCTTAGCCCTGAAAAAATTCTAGAGATCCTGTCTTTTAAGTCTTGAGTTTTAAGACATTTACCTACATTTCACCTTTGAAAAAAAATTAACTATTCACTTCCGTCATTGACCTCCTCATCTTAATTAATCCTGCTGGTTCTGTTTCCACAGACCGATAACCAAACCCATTCACTCCAGCAGACTCCTTAATTAACTTTACCAATACTCATACAATCAGAAAATTAATGTAGCTAAAATCTAATAAATAGAGGATTTTTCTTATCTGATCTTGAATATCATCCAACCAACATCCAACATAAAAAAAAAACTTTCTTTCCAGTTCACACAGTGCATTTTTAATAAATGTGATTAATGATATACATTATGAGTTCCAAAACTTTATAACACTACATACCTCTTCCACTTTTTAGATAATTAGGTATACCTTCAAGAACATATGATATTAGGAATAAATGCTTATCTTCATAAAAAAAAATTATTATTGTTATTATTAAATTACGACACACTTTTGACTTCAAAAACCCAGAAATAATAGCAATAGAACCTAAAACAAATAATAGGAAACTGCTGGAAGCTATACATACAACAAAAAACAATAATAGAACAGTAAACTATAAAACAGATACAAAACATTTAGGTACACACTATTCGGACATAATATCGAATATAAAAATTCAAAAAAAACAACAATAGCCAAAAAAAACACAACAAACAGCCATAATAAGAAATAAGAGGATAGGTACAAAGTACAGAAATAAAACTCAAGATAGCCAGATGTTGATTAGTGTATCAATGAATATGTAAAGATGTGTAACACCAAAAAATAGGTTCAAAAAATGTGACAAATATTTGATTTTCGACAAATGGTGCCACATCAAAAAAAGAAAGGTAAATAATTGTACAATAGATGAAGTAGAATGATATTGTTAAATAAAAATTAATATAAAATGTGCATAATTTCAGTGAAGATAAAGATTGCTCTGATGATGAGAAAATTGTCCCAAAACGTAAGAGACAACAAATGTAATTTAAAAAAATTTGAAGAAAATTGGAAGTATTATTGCCTTAAATATGAAAAAAAATTATATATATTAAATAAACAAACAATATAAGAGCCGTTAGATGCAAAAGTGTTTTAATTGTACCACTCCCCGGCATCCAATATATTCCTGCAGTGGCAGGACAGTGCACATGCATGGTCTTGTCTTTTTCGGTCTTCTGTCGTGCAGTAGCTCTGGAGAGTACATCTTAGACTGCCCCCCTTGCTTATTTAACATGTATAAATAAATAACATAAATATAAATGTATTCAACAGTTGTTAACTGAAATAAAGAGAAATAATAAAAAAATCGTCATATAAACGGCATTGGACGTCGGAGTCCACTTCTACGATTGCTGGCCATTAATGAAGACACAACCAACAGATAGAGATTCTGAATAGAGAATTTAGTTCACCTTTGTTGTTAAACAATAGTGGTATACATCGAAACTGAAACATGTCTCTGGCGTCCAATATCGTTAGAAACTTCGTAACTACTGTCGGTCGCCGGGGAACGATATCAGCGGCAAAGACACTTAAGAGATATCATGCTCAGCAGCTAACGCGTTAACAGAGAAAGTAAGCAGTTATTTATTCCTTTGTCATCTTTAACACTGAATGCTTTCATCTTCAGTACAGTAACCATCACAGATTATTTTTATTTATAATTTAAGATCATGTTTTATTCTTCTTATAATTGATGCAATCATTTCTTATGCAATTATTCTTCATTGAACTTGTTAAAAAGATATTTTATCCATCACTATTTTTGCTTGTACTAAAGCCACCTGCAACTTGCTTGCATACCACCAATGGTATGTCCACCATAGATTGAGAATTAATATATACACGTATATGGTCGTTTATAATTTAAAAAGTTTTGATATAAATTATACTTGTATTTTAATCACTTTGAAATAAAACGAATATATATGTTGATTTCCATAAAGAAAATAATAGACCACAGAATAACAGTTATTTGCTCATAAAAAACATATAATTATTTACCTGACGATGAAGATGGTGAACAATAAATGCTATAAGAAATTCATCACTTTCAATGGAAAAATTGTTGCTGAGGCAATGCAAAAGAGAGGGCAACAAAGGACTCAAATTAAACATGGAATCCACCGAAGTGTCCAAACCAGATACATCATCATTCACGGACACTATATTATCAAATAAAAACAATAATATAAAAATTGGATGCATGAAGATATTTTAAAAGTATAAAGGTAATTTATTTCACTAAAATAAAAGAAATAGCATACATTTCAAAAAATCATCCAAATTTAATCCAGATAGGGTATCAACTGCTGAATATTCTTGAACTTCTAATAAAGTCTTATAAATCGCATTCATGTTTTCTAAAGCCCACTTTAAGCTGTCAGCGATAGTGGAACCAATACTATGATCAAAGTATTTTTCCATGCAATAGATCCACAGTGAAAGCTCTTTTTCATTTCTGATGAAGATGCCAGACTTATACAAAAGTTCTTTTAAAATTCCAAGACCAAGTTTTACATCAGAGTCCTCTTTACCCATAGTTGTGTATTTAAAGCGGTCCAAATATTGTTCCTAAAAACACAAAATTAACTAAGACAAATAGCATTACATCATGTAAAAAAACATATATTAAATGCTATGATTCTCATTAACACATATGAAGTGAAAGAAGTCTCTGAAAGAATAGTTCTTCAAGTGACTTGGAATAACGGATTACAGAGGCTAAGAACAAAAGTGAACATCATTAAACTAAAGGTTGAGAAGATATGATTTAAGCGTTCAGAACAACCAATCTATAGAGGACTTAATCTATAAACAAATAAATTTCCAGGTTCAAACATTATAATTTAAGAATTTCAATAAAATCTGTGTGCCCACCCATCAATCGTTTCGCTTCCACTTTGTGCTCTTAGTATGGAGTTATAACCATTACATTCAGTCAATTTTTTAAATTGTATTGCGATCTTACTAAAGATGGTAGCTCTATTACCTGCTTTTAAACTTAACTAAGTTACTAATAAAGTTATAGATAACTACAGCCCATGAAGGGGTTCAGTAATTTGTGAGGAAGTACTGTTTCAAGGCCAACAGCTGCGCAGGGAGGTGATCGGGCCAGACTTATGTTCTGATAAATGATAACACTACGTAGAAATAGAAAATAATCTTTTATCTGGAACAAAGTCCCTGAAGAATAACAATATTGTTCATACAAATTAACAATAAATCTAGCCAAATACACCGAATATAAACCTAAATAATGGATAAATAATATGATACTACAACATAAAATTACTTCTGATAACTACTATAAAAGAAGACTCACTATCTTTAAAAATAAATAATTTTTATAACCTCATAAGTATCCTGGGGATTAACAATTATTTCCAGCCTAATCATACTCAGTAAAAGAGAGATATTGCACGATTCAGATGATTCAAAACCAGAAACACATTCTTTGACCCAATTAGAAACAGTATCATCATATCTGGAAAAAAAAGAATATAGACGCCTACTTAATATTTAGAAAAAATAGAAAAAAGTTATACAAATTACAATTTATTTACCTAATAATATCGACCACTTCTGGACAAATTTCTTCAAATAAAGTAAGCAATTGAATCAACTCTTTCACCACATCATACTCCAGATTACTATGTGAGAGTTTAAGACATTGGCAAATATCATGGCTTTTAGGTAAATTCTGAAAAATAAAATACAACAAAAACAATAATGAACACTATTATTACGAATACTAAACAGTATTTGAACACCTTAAATGCTCAAAACACGCCCTGATAATGACCTACATGAATGGATTGAAATGTCGGCACCAATAAAAAAGTTAAAAATGACTGTGTCATGACTTATTTATAACCCATAATAAAACAAAGTGTGATTTCCAGATTTTTATTTCAATTTTATGATATTTTATTAAACAATGATGATTCCTTCAAAACTTGAACTATTACCGAAGCTAGCAATAAAACCTATGAGTAAAGAAAATAATTGCATTGATATTAATCAAATTTACATTGCTTATTGAATACGACTAAGGTAGATTCAACCTTCTGAATTAAGTCCACTTAATGTGGTTATCTCAATTATTATCAAATGAAATACCTTAAAATGCAAGTAATAAAACATGAAACACAATAGTAAATGAAAAATTTCAATATTATTTTATATTCATTATAGAAAATGACTTACATTAATTAGGTATGCAGTAATATTAGCTTGAACTGAGGAATGATCCTTTAATTCCTTCATGAAGACACCAGAAACATCCTTATACCTGTTCAAAAGGATTAGCAACAACTTTAAAACGGTCAGCTTTTCATGAGAAGTTTTAGCATTTAACAGCAGTCCATTAGAGATCGCTTCCAAAATTTGATGAGGAACTATCAAGTTTTGAACTATTGTTGAGAAATGTTTAGGTTCTACATTCTTTAAATCAAATTTTACATCAACAATGATCTGAAATAAATAAATAAAAAATTATTAATTAATAAAAATTGAGATAATTATTTAAAATAAAAATTAGTAGAGTGGCAATGATAAGTGTGAAGAGAGGAGAGAGGGGAGGGCTTCACTGCTGCCAATATATCCTCAATATGGATGAATTATTCCAGAAACAAACCGTTTCTTCTTTCTAGGGTATTCTTCCTAGAAATTGTTCTTAAAAAAGTACCACCCACATCAAGTCTCAAAGAGGCTTGGATAAATATACAAAAATATAGTCATCCCAAAAATAATGGCAGTTGACTTCGTAATAATCAAATATGGATTGGTTTTTTTTTTTTTTTTTTTGCTGCTTCACGTCTCAGAAGAACCTTGGCTTGCCTCAAGATTTCTTACAGTTCAACTTCATTGGGTCACCTGACATCAGGTTCGTAAGGCCAATAACCACTTGAGTCCTCCTGATTCAATCTTTCATTCACACTTTACAGGTGTGATTCTTCTTACATACTTATTCATTCCCACCAATTATTAGCAGTAGATAGTTAATTTCCAAGACTCTCAGTTTAGTAATGTGCTTATTACCATGAATGTTCCAGTTATCGGAATCTAAAGGGTACGTAGGTATTCTAGTTAATATTTTTTGATTTTTGCCACTCTGCTAGACTATAAATGTTAAGGATATTTAGTAGAATAATCCAAAGAGGTTTCGGATTTCTCGCATCTATACCTTCCCTTCCAATATATCATCCCGGCTGATAAATGAACTGAAATAATAGAATTTTATTTTAATAAAACTAAATACTTATATAATGAAATTAAATAACTTGCCTGTATAATCAAATCTACTATTTGAAGCCAGTTAGGTAAAACGACTTTCAGGCGAGGTTGAAGTGATGTTAACACAGGTTTCAGTAAATCCGGGCAAACAGTAATGATTTGATGTAAAAGATCTGTTTTTAAATTATCCTCCCAGGGCTGTGAAAGTTTCTACAAAAAAATAATAAATAAATAACAACAAAATTAAATATGACTTAATATCTGAAATTAGTTTTCATAATTCAATATGGAAAAAAAAGTTTCATTACTTAATAAGACAAGCTGATGTTTACATTTATAAGAAATTTCAGTAAATATTAATAAAATTACAATTTCAATTGGAACTTAACAATTATAATGTTCAGTTTTGACATTTAAATATTCTATTAAACTTCAGAATACAGAATTTAATTTCAGGACATTAATTACAAAATTAATAAAATAAAATAATTAAAAATGACAATGATATAGTTAACTAAAAATCACACGATACCTGTAAAAAATTACTAATAGTATAATTTCGCTGGACATTAGATGTTCCATACGTTGGATCATGAAAAGCAATGCCATATTTTACTGAAGTAGTAACTTTAAGAAGTAATCCATGAACTAATGTCCGTATTTCTATTTTATCATCTTCACTAATTTGTCCCTAAAATGACAGGAAAGAATAAGTGGCATCGTATTGAATATACTAATTACACAAACAAAATATGTATACACTGACATATTAATTAATAAAATAATTAGAAAAAAGTACTTACATTAAAAGAAGTCATTTTGTTTGATTTCTTATCATACCATGCTTTAGGATTCCAATTGTATAATTCAGATAAACAAAAAAGAGACATTGTATTAAATACGTAAAGTTTGCTCGTTTTAGAAAGATCTTTGTTATCGATAACTCTTCCCTCCAATGTTGATAAGACTAACTTTACAGTGAAAGGTGAATCATACTGAAGCCCAGGAAAAATTGAAGGAAGCCACACTGAAAGGAGGGATACTTTCAGCAATTTTAATTAATTAGAGCAACCTAAGGAAATTATTAGAAAAAAATAATACCCTTCTTTCCTAGTAATTTTTCTATTACTTTAGGACTTTGTTCGATGATAAAAGCTAAAAGAAAGTGAATAAAAGCAATCCTCAAACTTTTCTCATCAAGTGGGTCAAAATGTTCAACCAGAGCGTCAACATCGTCCTTCGTTAACGTAAGTGACAACAGAATAAGGGTAGCTAGGCTGGTGCTTACTGTAGCTAAAACTAAATTGAAAAAAAATTAACAATTTCTATTGAAACATAACTATGAATAGTACAAAATAATATATATATACCAGCTAAGAGGCGCAAAACAATTTTCTTGTTTTTTACTGATGTTTTCGATGTCAAAAAAGACTGGAATTCCCCTAAATAATTAGCAATCAATTGTTTACAATCCTCTTTAAATTGATTTTGGTCTGGAAACTCAGTAATACATCTAAATTTTAAAACAATTAGAAATAAATTAAATAATTATTAAATCAAATAATTTATTTAAAACCGATAAAACCTACTTGATTATTATTAACTGGAGCGCTTCGAATATTACACTAGACTGATCTCTTTTTTTTAGGTCGATAGTAGTAAGCAGCTGACAAATTTCTGATACTGAACCACCAGCTTCAATATATTGAGAAATTTTACTTTCATCTTTATTTTTGAGAAAATAGCCTTTAATCACTGGAAAATATAAATAATAATAAAAAATAAAAATTCAGAACAGTAAAATATATTTTAAAAAATCTGGTGCGTGCAACACACAACTTTCCCTTACCGATCTACTTTGAATAGAAATTATTTTCTGGCAATGCTATTATAAAATTTTTTGAAGTGCATTTTAAACAGAGTTAAAGCTTAAAGCTTACAGATAACAAGTCATTAAGAACATTATAATTACAAAATGTCTATTTAATATATCGACGACAGGCAATAAAAATCTATTCACTCTATCTGCTTTTATAAACCACACAACTTTCTTTGCTTTTATGAACCACAGAATGACTAACACCAATTTCAACATTTTTGAGTGATGTCATTTTAATGATATTTTTAGTTGAAAAAGTTATCTATGCAGACAATGAGTAAGTTGATTCCAGAGGTGGTGATTGCAGTGTTGAAATATAGAACTGAGAATAAAAATATAAATTTAGGTACTACTTTCTTATGAAAGATGTTCTTAGGAAAGACACTTTATTAAATATCTGTAGAAAAAAGGTTTTTTTAGTCTCAACAATTAAAAAAATATATTTTAAATTTATCCAAATTTTCACCTCTTCAGGGAAAAAAACTAGAGACCATATCTTTCCTCCTAATTGTCCGATTTTAACGTTTTTTTTTTTTTGTTTTTTTTGGAAAATTCTATAAACTTTTAAAAAACTATAACAATATCAGTTATTCGGAATTTAATTTTAACATCCCTCGTAACTTTTTTTCCAGCTTCTTTTCGTTGAAGTATGTTATATAGATAAATTTAAAGGGTATCGAGAAAATGACTTTAACAAAGTTTCATTGAAATCGGTACATTCGTTTAGGCGCTACAGTCTGTAGGAACGCAGGTTTTTCTCCAGTTTTATTTTTTTTCTCCTTTATTAACTTATCAAATTCTTTCAAAAGTTATATGTAGCATTTTTTTGTAACTCTGAATAATGGGAAATGGTTAACTTTTTAGAATAAACCATATTAAAGGTACTTTAGATGAAGACATTTATGAACATTGGGCATTCAAGCCCTGTAAAGTGACATCAACGGGGATAAAACCTAAATGATATTAAAGACCACTTAATTACACAATGATACACCGAGTTTGATCGAAATCGTTAAGAGCCGTTTTTGAGAAATTATAAAAATGTGTTTCAGCGTTCATATAAAGTGGCACTTCCGGTTAGCCGATTTTAACAAAAAAGTTGCTGTCACATCCGGCCCATATATAAACCTTAAATACTTAATATCAGTTTCGTACTACTTTTCGTTTATGAGCTAGACTGTTAACAAACACACACAGACAGACACACACACACAGACCATTTTGCGACACTTGGTTATTTGAACCCAGGGGACCTCAAAACATGTATTTCCGTTGAAAACTGAGATTCGAAAATTTTCACGATCGCAATACTTACCCTTACTGTATATTACATATATACGTAAGTGAAAGTAAAAAATAAATGTATGAATGTCCTTATAAAATCTAAGATTCAAATTATAGGACTTTGGCATACTTCCTAGTGCTTTTCAGTTAAAATCGAGACGTTAACTTTCATCACATCACTGTTTTCGACTTACACTCTCTCAAATAGGGTTCGTTCACAACAGTTTGATCACTGCTGTGTACTTTCGGGCATACTCAGCCATTATTGGAATTTCATTCATGGTTTACAGTAGTATTTAGATATACAGACAGATATTTGTACAGTAGAACCAAGCTAACTGTCAGAAGTGGTTTTAGATGTCATTAAAAATGCTTTTTTCTGTCCAGAACCATTGAAGGGTATTAAAAAACTTTTTTTTTTACAATTTGATGCTTATTGAAACAGATGCCTAATAAGCCATCATTATGCCTAATAAGGCATAATAATAATGCCCAATTTATTCTCTAAATGTTATGTATAAACATGATTCCAATAGCAAGTACTTAAATTCAGGGTTGAGCTCATCGATAGCACAGTTAAGAGATGCATCTGATGCCATTAACGAGGTAAGCGTTGTGTTCAGAAATTTGGGTACCAATGTACAAATGTCACCAATGGGCTATCTTTTTTGTTGGCGGTATAAATGGGATTCCCAGAATAGCCAAGACTTATAACCTCCAATTAGATTGCAATTTACAACTTCTGCAAGATCTCTACTATTACATTACATTCAAAATTGTCATCTTAATCAGCTTTGATTACATTGCTGCTTTTGACTACTCCTTGCTCTAAAGGGATAAAAAATAACCTAACAGTCCCTTTTCAGAGGAGGTCAGGGCCTTACCTGACAGTTCAGTCACTTCCTTCAAACACATTAGGCCAATCTCAGGATCCCATTTATACTGTGGACAAGGTGAACAACACATCCTAGCCCACTGGAAAAGGTAGAGTGACATTTGTACAGTGGTATCGACAGTAATAGCGCTCAGCTGTCAAGGGAGTCAAGGTGACATCAATCATACTGTAGATAGAATTGCAAAAGTATCGGAAGGTAGCTGATCTCTGTAAGGCCCTGATCTCAACTCAGCAGAACTGATATATGAGAACTGATAAGCTGCCTTTTAGAGAGAACATGGCATGCTCACATAACATGTTTTTTTATACTTCATTTCATAACACCCAAAACTAATATTGATATTGTTTTCATCCTCTCTTCTACCCAGAAAACCAGAATGGGCAAGGCATGTAATCATAATTAAACCACAATAACTTTAAACTGATGTTCTACTGCAGATCAATAAAAATTACATATGTATAAATAAATTAAAATGCATATTTAGTTCTTACGTTCTACAACTTCAGCATTCCCTAAATGTTTTCTAAATTCATCTGCAGAAAGCTGAATAGATGAAAATGAACCACCATCCTTCTTTTCCATTTCAGGCATTGGATCTTCCTTTCTTCTCTTAGGATTATTCATTGTTGTCAAACTATGAACATTAAAAAAATAAAACTTTCAAGGGGAATGTATGAATTCCTTTAGCGAAGGATTATTTATGGATTTTTTCTAAAAGTAACTGTTTGTGACACAAATAATAACGTGGATTTAAAAAAGGAAGGTAATTCTACTGTTGCTTAAACCGGGAATGGACGATTTCCTCTAATCAACGCTGAGCTCATCGATGATAACGAAAATCCATCAAACCGTTCCCAAACTCATCGAAAGAATCTATTGATGTAATTTAGCGATTACCTTTATTCGTCGTTTCAATCACAATCTATTATCAGTTCAAGGATCGAAAGATCTGATGAAAATTAATTATTTTTCATAGGTTTTGTTATCTTCAATAAGTGGTAATCTTCCGTTGGAATCCAGCAGGTCGTTCATAATCAGTAGAAATCATATGTGCTGAAATAAATCGATTGATTGAACCCAGCACCGACTTACAACGATAAATGCAGAGGAAGGTTATAAAACACCTGAAAAATATAATAAGAAAACATCTACCTTCTGAATTGTTATATTTTCTAACCGAAAAAGAGATATAAAGTAATCTGAATATACATATTTTTTTTTTATATTTGGGTTTTATACAACTTAAGGAGTCATATCCCTGTCCATCCAATCTTCTTCACGAAGCCCTCTGGCTGCCATGCTTTCCTCCACGTCCTCTATCCACTTCTTCTTTGGCCTTCCACGCTTCCTTCTTTCAGGTGGCATATAGTTGTAAATTTTCTTTGGCCAGCGGTTCTCATCCATCCGCATTAAGTGGCCATACCACTTTAACCGTTTGGTCCCGATCAGGTGAAGGATGTTCTTTTGACATCCGACCTTGTCTCTAATAGCTGCGTATGGGATCCGCTCGATTCTAGTTATGCCACAGCTTCTTCTTCAGAAATCCATTTCCATGGAAAGCAACTTATTTTCCATCTTTTTTGTCATTGTCCAAACTTCTGATCCATAAGTGGCTACGCTTTCTACAAAGGAATGGTATATCTTCTTTTTAGTTTCCAATCTTATTTCTTTACTTAATATACATGTGTGAATTGAGAAATAACAACACTGAGCAGGAGTAACATTTTCAATAATACCTCTAACCGAAAAAAATATGACGGTATTATAGCTCACTGTCCTTTTTGAGATTTATAAAGAAAAAACTTGTAATTTTGTTTAAAACTTGTTCAACATGAACCAGAAAACCATGCGACTTTGTCTATTATTATTACAATGATAAATAGTCAAAATTTTCAATCCTGATCTCTTATTCAGCTTGCTGAAGTAACGACTCAGGATGTGGGCCATAATTAGGAGAATTATTTCTGTATTCTAGCATCAAGAACTGAGCGGAGTCTTATTCTAGGCAGTTCTAGTTAAGCTTTTCGGAGTTCTTCTTAGGCTGAACAGAAACCATTGTCTTGAATTGGAGTTGGGTCTTGGAAGGAAGTTCGTAAAGTAAAAAATGATTTGTTGACAATAACTAAGATGTATATTGCCCTTAATGGTTTTCCACATGAAATTTATTATCTTTTTCACAATTTCATCTTTTGCTCAGTTTTAGATAGGTTGGTATTAACTCATATGTACTTTTATTTTTATTTTATATTAAAACATTGATTCTTTAATATTACTGAGAAATATTTGGTACATTTCATTATAGTTTATACTTTCATATGTTTCACTAGCGGATCCAGAGTTTAATTTTTTGGGGGCTTTATATATTATACAAAGAAATAAACTAACTACCTAAAAGAACGATAATTAAGAGATTATTGAAGTCCTATTAAATTTAATTAGATGAACAATGATACTTTTAGAGATAATTTTTTTTCCTAAGACATGATTACATTTTACCATTTGGGGGGATCAACCCAAACGCCCTTCCCTCATCGTAGATTCGCCTTCAACCCGAAAGCCCTTCCCTAGCCATAGATTTGCCTGTGATGTGTTTTAACAGTTTTATTGATAATGTAAAAACTTGCGCATTTTTCGGGTTATCATTTTGATGCTAGAACATAAAAAAAAATAAATAAAAAAACGTTTGTCTATCTATCATTTGCATTGACCAGCTGAAAGTACATCACCGAAGTCACAGGAATATCTACGGGGAGAGGCTTATGAGCTGAAGCCGCCCCCAAATTGGTAAAATATAACCATGTCTTATAAAAAAAATATTAAAAAAGTATTATTGTTCGTGTAATCACATTTAATAGGACTTCAAGAATCCTTAAACACCATTATGGAATAGGTAATTAGTTTCTTTCAAAGTAATTATCGCTATATCTATAAAAAGTAACGTTCGGGCTGAAGTTTCTCCTCCCGCCCTCAAAAAATTAAATCCTACATCCGCTTGTGATCGAAGACAAAAACGAAAGTTTGGAGCGGACCTGAAGGAAGGAATTGTTACTTGCAGTAGAAGCTTGGAAGTTTTTAGTGCTCCGATACATAAATATTTAGTTTGTAATGGAAGTGGCTTTATACACTTAAATATAAATTTAATGCATTATCAGGACCAGCAGTTATATTCATTTCTTACATTTGATTCTTCAATAACAATTTTTAGCAAATCATTAAACACTAAATTATGATTATAATTTGACATTAGCAATAAAGGGACAAGTTCCTTTCATTCTGCACTTTAAATTGTTGAGCTGTCACACGTATCTCGTAATTTAATTAATAAGTATAATAAACAATTTCCATTGTACGTATTACAGATGACAACGGAATAGCCAAAGATATTGAAGACTGCAATGCAATAGATGATGTGGGGAAATTAAAGGTGAAGAAAGTATTGGAAGACATCTACAATTATCGAAATTGTTTAAGAAAAGCGTTCATAGTTTATCCAAGTATATCAATTTCTTAAGCAATTGTTTAGAGTCTATTTTCCGTCTTGGTATTAATTTTTAATCATAATAGACAGTCAATAAAGGACGATTTGCTCCTTATTTTATTGAAAAATATCAACAAATAAATTTTAAATTGTATGCTATTTTAAAAATAATTAATAAATAGTTATCAATATGTGTTTAATATAAACTTAGTAGAAAAAATAATATAATTAGAGAATCTGGAGCAATAATTATGACGTTGGCTGGAGCCGTTTTATTTTAAAAAATCACTCCAAAACCATGGTAATGAAGTTAGTTGTACAGCAGTCTTTCTGTAATGTCAGAAATAAAACTGTGTATCTTCGTCATAATCCAATTAACAAACAAATTTATTTTGGAAAAACAAAAATTTAAGTTCCATCAATGGAAATTTTATACCTGGAACATTTTTATTTCCTAACAATTCAAGATTTCTGAAAAATAAATGAAGACTTATTTCAAAATGCGGAAGTTAAATATAAAAAGTTTTAACCACATGAAAAAAATTCATGTAATCATTATGCTCAACATGAGCTTTATTTTAAAAAAATGGCAAAATAAAATAATGACTAATAATTAATTACACTTATTGTGATGAATAAACATATCAATCAAAGATATAGCTCAATTTTATATTCTTAAGGAAGTTTTTTAACAATTACATCTTCATACTCCTAACTCATTTATTTAATGGCTTCGACTGTCCTTCACTAGCGGATCCAGGATTTAATTTTGGGGGGGGGGGCTTCAGCCCGAAAGCTTTTTTTTCATAAAAGTAACGATAATTACTTTGGAAAATAGGAAAGAAACTAAGTACCTATATGAACTGGTGTTTAAGTGATTCCTAAAGCCCTTTTGAATGTAATTACACGAATAATTATACTTTAAGAGATAATTTTTTAATATTTTTTTCGATAAAACATGGTTATATTTTACCATTTTGGGGGGGCTTCAGCCCGAAAGCCCCCCCCCCGTAGATCCGCCCGTGCTGTCCTTTATCATACAGTAAAAAACAACATATCGAAAAATATGCTGCAAAAACTTATAAGAATAATTTAATTTTGTGGTAAAGTTTAGAAATTCCTGATCTATCTTGGATTGGAGCTTATTTCGAAACACAAACAAAAAATATTACTAAAACATTAAATCTTTGTTTTAAGAATGCAATCATATTTGAACAGAAAATCTGGTTCGTTATTCAGAAAATGCGTTTTCCTATTTATTTTTAAAAAATATTTTTACTTTTTGCAGCATCGCTGTTATTAACTTTCATTTAATATATGTATATTTCAACTTTGGTTTGATTGATGTAAAATAATTACTATATAAGTATGTAAAAAATACTTAGATAACGATAATGATATAGTTATGGTGAAATGTAAATTAAGTGGATAAATCTAAGTCGAAAACATCTCGTAAGGTGCAAAGCCAGTAAGCTATGATGAGCTATGATCATTAAATTTGAAGCCTTTCAATTTTTACTATTGTGATGAATAAATAAAATAGTTCATTTTATCAAGTTTTAATAGCTGATATTTGAACTTATGTTGTTTCAATGAGATCTATAATCAGATATAAATATTATGAGGTAAATAAGCACAGGAAAAAGAAAACATTACAATAAATCACAATTCAATTAAAACATAAACTGATTTAATAAAGCATTGAGTTTATTATTATGGGTGATAATAATAAAGAGAAGAATAGTTGGGGTGCTCAGTCAAAAAAGGAAGGCAAAAAATAAATTATATTTATTTTTTACATATGCCGACGTTTCGACCTGAAGTTCAGGCCATCATCAGGGCTGATAGGTGATAATAATAGATTGATTGGACTTACCTGAGGTTGACATAAACAAATACCTGAAGGTTTGGAGTATATTGTTCTCCAGTAAAGGAGTCGTTCATCCAAGTACTAAAACTAGATTTAGTTTTTTAATTCCTCATATAGGCCTTGTCTTAATGATAGATCTCTAAAGTATATCACCCAATCAATCTGCATAATATGTTGACACTACAATCTATATTTTGGGGACAACAGGTCAAGTCAATGTTTTTGGATTTAAAATAAGTTGTAACAGAAATAGAGTTCTTAACTATACCTTTATGGAAGGTTATTTATTATAGAATTTCAGATATTGAGCCCAACTAAAAATCAATGAATAAAAATGGTAGTTGTTCAATGAAGAAACAAATAGAAAAGCCGGGAAAGCAAAAGGTGTTGAAGGAAAATGTTTTTAACCAACATGTGGAGTTGAGGATTATATCAAGGAAAGGATGCA